AACCGGAGAACGAATTGTCGTAGCAATTCAGACTCACCGTGCACAACACTGAATATGTCCGCCTTCCTAACTTTGACCTTCTTTGCCCCGGCATGGGCCTTAATGAATGAATCTGCAAGCATATCAAAGAGTCAATTGAATGCTCAGGTAAGAGTGAATACCATGTCAGGACCCCCTTTGTGAGGGTTTCGCCAAATTTCTTCAGTAAGACCGATTCGATCTCATGTTGAGCCAAATCATTCCTTGTCACAGTCGTGGTGTAGCTTGTGATGTGCTACTGCGAATCTGAAGTACCATCGTATTTTGGTATGTCCAGTATCTTGAACCTCTTCGGAATCAACTCTGGTGTTGCGTGCGGTTTAAACAGCAATTGTGTGTTACCTTTTGAATCTGGGCCTTTTAGTATTGGTGGTGCGCCCGGAATCTGATCCATCCGAGCATGTAACTCATTTGAATTTTGATCCATTCATTCATTCATTTCTCTCATAAATCCCAATCTCGGTATTGAAGGGGTCATTTCCAAATCCGGTACCAGTCCCTCTGGCATCGTCGAAGCCTACCTCACCCCTTGGGGTGTTATTATCAACTTTTTGAGGCGTTTGATATGTTGGAACGCTGGGAGGAAACAGGCCCCTTCCGTTTGCATTATTGGAAGCGCCTAACAATGTTTGTTTCAACTCCATCATTACTCGATCCTGCCTTGAGAGGTGATTGCTTTCTGCTATTCTCTCAAGATTTTCAATGTTTCCACGACATGTTCCTCCTCCGTGTCATCGGGAGTTGGCTCCCGCACATGCCAAGTTATGCCCTTCACAAACTGGGGTTGTTTCGTCCCCTTCGTTATAAGTGTCACTGATTGAGTCTTCATGTTGAGGCACATCTTTGCGTCCCTCAACGTTGTGTATAATGTTGACATCATTAGCTGCCATTTCTGATTTCTTGCTAAGAAAAAAAATCAAATACGATAGTAATAAACATAAGGATCAAAGCAATTACGCAATTGTCTAAGCACCGCGGTGGCGCCAAACTGTTTACCCGTAAAACAATACAGTTAAATTTGTTACATGGTTTTTTAACAAGCGAACTGATTTGATCCAAAAATGATAAACAAAATAAGATAAAAAATGAGACTTAGCAGTTGAAATTGAAGAAGATGACAACCATGACTCCGAGCGCAAAGAACATGTAACGGCAGGTCATGAATGCAAATATTCTCTGTAACAGTTGCTCATTTAATGTTAGAGAATAATCTCATTGAATGCTATATGATGGGAAATACTCGATATGTTCCCGTTAACTACGCTCCCTTCGGGATTTACCCAATGTCGTTTGCAATTGTTATATCCGGTACTACTTGCTACTTGGCTTGCCTTTTGTCTAGTTTCAGTTCCATGTGTCATGCTACCATTCGACCATTTATTATAAATTAATTTTACCCCATTAATTATGCGAAATCGATTTTAATCTGACCCTAATAGGAATACTGAACCAGGTGATAAACTAAAAAAGAAAAAGAAAAGAAAAAGTGAGTTATGAAATCATTTTCTACTTTATAATTGTAATAACTCCAATATATAGAACCAAAAAATAGGGCGGTGGAGAATCACACAAATGCTGACTCATCTTTGATGTTGTCCTCTTACATTCTTGTTTCAATCTATGACGATGATGTCTTTTTGACCAAATAAAAAAGTTCTTTTTTATGGTTGCAATATTTCCCTTACCTATAAAATATATTTAATATTTCTTAACCTATTTTTGAAGCAAGCATCATTAGACTACGCCACGAAGAGTACTTCCTTTGCATTCTATTTTCTTCTCAATATTGTTTTTAGATACTTCTTCTCGTCTATTTTAAGTAATTTTTTGGTGTTTTTTCACACATATTAAGGAATTCAAGTTTTAATATTAATTAACAATAAAATTGATCATATAACTTTAATTTGCTCGTTGGAAATATAACAAACTATTTCTAGATTCTTTATTCCAAAAGTAACTTTAGAAAAAAGAAGTTAATTCCTTCTTGATATATGAAAAAATTAAATATTTTATATCATAAAAAAAGTCTAAAAAATTACTTAAAGGACTGGAGAAAGTATCTTTGTACGTGTTAGCCTAAGTTTCAAAATGCAATAAATTGCAATTATATATACCACTAGCCTAAAGTCCATTCACAATTAATGGATTCATTTTCCTATTACCTCGCTCCCGAAATCTAGCAATTATATAGTAGTATTTCATTCGCATTATTTGAACTTCATTTACAATCTTTTTATCTGTTTCCCCTAATTGTTCTTCTCCCTTTTTCTTTTTATTGTTTTTGATAAAAAATAAACTGGCTTCATTAATTATTATTATATGTTTCTTTCATGATGTAATGTTCATTATGCTCAATATTCATTGTCATAATGCTATATATAGAAATATGGTTTCTCACACACACGCGCGCACAAAAAATTTATATCTTTTTTCGCTGGTAGCATCTTTTCAAATTAATTATACAACTTAACTTATTTTCCATAGAATACTTTCCTTTTTTTGGTGTGCTTTCCTCATCTAGCAACCAACTATTAACCTAGCATTATTTAGGGTTTATGCAACTTGATGCTTTTTGAATTTTGCTTGATGTCCAGAATCTAAATATAATGTGATTGAGAACAATTTGGAAGGGCTAAATAAATGAAATGCAATTCTTTATGATAATTAACATAATAACCACTTCTATTATATTTTAGCTCAATAATGAGATTGGTGGGATGAATTATATATTATATTCCCTCACGTATTATTGACTGATTTTTGCAATTTGAAATTGTATCTACCTCATTCATTTCAACTACTAATCTTGAGAAAAATTGACATAGGAAATCCTATCCAAATAGCATTTTGTTTATACATGAAAGAAAAACAGAAAAAACTTTATATACTTGAGCTAAATAATTCATGGGCATTTTGCTATCTATTTTTCTGTGAAATAATGGATAAAAAGAGATGGAAGGACGGGGAGAGATTTTGGGGATACATATTTTCGGGGTATTATCACTTTTAGCCCGCATCAGAAATTATTTATATTCGATAGCAAAAAAAAGTGTATAATTTTTGTATGTAACATACAAAATGTATATATATACAAAAAAATATACAAAAATTATATGTCTTTCGGCTATTATTTTAAGAGCGGTTATACAGTGTCATTTTCTCATATATTTTCAGGAATAAACTTTTTTAATTAAGTATTTTATAATTCTAATTCAATCACATCATATAGTTGTAATTTAATCAATCATAAGACTTTAGCATGCAAAGATCTTTAATTCCATGATGTTTGCTTGGTTTTGGAACTTGACATGCTTTGCCTAGTCGACAATGCAAACATTTATAATTGTGGTGGTGGTTGGCAAATTAATGCAAAATTTTGAATCATTATTTATGTTTTCCGTGGTTCATTTTAACAATTTTTCTATAAAAGGTAAAAGCGTCATAGCTTTAGGATCTTTTTTTCAACTCTGTCGGCCTAAGTTATTTTCTAAAAAACATGTTACTAGCTAGCTACCAAGGCAGGTTGTTTTCACTTGATGGGATGGGAACTTCAATTCTAATTTTTCAAATTTCAGCCTCTGAAATATATTTAGTTATTTTTATTTACAACCATTTATTTGTTTTGCTTCGGTCTATTTATTTAAATTCTATATAGTCTTAAAACAATCAATACGTTATTCATGAAGATTTATGTGAAAGTGATATTTTTTCATTCCACTATCATCACCACTCGCCATCAAAATTAGCTAATACTGCATAACCACCATAGCTAGCAACGTCAACCACCACTATAACGTGGTTAATCATCAAGTACGGATAAGTATTTTGAATTTTTTTTTATATTATAAACATGCTCCATATATATTATCTAGTTAGAGATCAGGTGAACGAGGAAGAAGAGGGCTATGTCTGGTATACCTAGGGTCAGGTGGGGTGCATTGACTAAGGACAAGGCGCAGGAATTGGGGGAGAAGTTGTTGGCTATGGGGGCCTGGAGGAGTAGCGGAGACGCGAGTTATATGTGGTCTATGACAGCAAATTATATTAGAGAAGCGACGAGAGAGGTGTTAGGGGTCACAAAGGAGTTTTCTGGTGGCCATAAAGGGGACTGGTGGTGGAATGAAGAGGTTCAAGGGAAAGTGGAAGCCAAGAAAGCGACATATTTGAAGCTAGTAGAAAGTATAGATGAGGGGCAGAAGAGTGCGAACATGGAGGGGTATAAGAAGGCTAGGAAGGAGGTGAAGTTGGCAGTTACTGCGGCTAAGACCATGGCGTTTAGTCGTTTATACAAAGAAATTGGGGATAAAGGGGGGACAAAAAGTTGTACAGGCTAGCCAAGGTGAGGGAATGGAAGGCCCGGTATCTGGACTAAATGAAATGCATAAAAGATGAGGAGGGAAGAATTTTAACAGAGGGGGTACAGATTAGGCAGAGATGACAGTCTTACTTCCATAAACTCTTGAATGAAGAGGGAGATAAGGACATTGTGCTAGGGGAGTTGGATTACTCGGAGCGGCAGCGAGATTTTGGGTATTGTAGACACATACGAGCGGGGGAGGTTGCAGGGGCTATGTGCAGGATGAGTAGGGGTAGAGCGACTGGGCCGGACGAGATCCTGGTGGAATTCTCGAAGAGCATGGGAGTAGGGTTTGGAATGGCTTGCTAGGTTGTTTAATGTCATTTTTAGGACGAAGAAGATGTCCGAAGAGTGGAGGCGGAGTATGATGATCCCGTTGTACAAGAACAAGGGAGATGCCCAAAATTGCAACAATTATAGGGATATCAAGTTGTTAAGCCATATAATGAAAGTGTGAGAGAGGGTGATTGAATGGAGGTTGGGGAGGTGTGTGTCCATTTCCGAGAATCAGTTTGGTTTCATGTCAGGACGGTCGACTACTGAGGCCCTTCACATTGTGAGGAGATTGGTGGAGCAGTATAGGGCGGTGAAGAAGGATTTGCATATGGTGTTCATTGACGTGGAGAAAGTCTATGACAAAGTCCCGATAGAGGTTCTATGGAGATGTTTGGAGTCTAGAGGAGTGCATGTAACATATATTAGAGTGATGCAGGACATGTATGATCGAGCTAAGACACGGGTTAGGACAGCAGGAGGAGACTCTGACTACTTTTTGGTTGAGATGGGGTTGCATCAGGGATCAACACTTAGCCCGTTTTTGTTTTCCCTATCGATGGATTCTTTGACACGTCACATTCAAGGGGAGGTTCATTGGTGCTTGTTATTTGTGGATGACATAGTCCTAATTGATGAGACGCGAGGTGGTATTAATAAGAGGTTGGAGGGATGGAGACATACTCTAGAGTCCAAGGGTTTCAAGTTGAGCAGGACCAAGACAGAATACAGGGAGCGCAAGTTCAGCGGTGTTACCCAGGAAGCGGACGGGGATGTGAGACTCGATATGCAAGTCATTCCCAAGAGAGAGAGTTTCAAGTATTTGTGATCTATAATTCAGAAGGATGGGGAGATAGATGAGGATGTCACACACTGTATCGGAGAAGGGTGGATGAAGTGGAGGCTCGCTTTCAGTGTCTTGTGTGATAAGAATGTGCCGTTGAGACTTAAGGGTAAGTTCTACAAGGTAGTGGTTAGACCGACTATGTTATATGGGGCAGAGTGTTGGCTAGTCAAAAACTCCCATGCCAGCAGATGAAAGTAGCAGAAATAAATATGTTGAGATGGATGTGTGCAGGTGCGGATTTATGCTTGCCAAAGCGGTGTCACATGACACCGCTTCGTCGAAAATTTTACTAAAGATATGTATTAATATTGTACGAAAACGGATAAGTAGGAAACAATGACACCACATGACATAAATTGTATCTTGGTGTGTTGATAATGTGCTTGATTTTCTCTCTAAGAGGTCAAAGGTTCAAACCTTAACTAGGACATTTTTCTTTTGCAAATATTTGAGAGAGCCTTTGTAGTTAAAAATTGTGATGAAGTAAAATTGAACTCAGGACCTTTTGTAACTTAAAACTCAACAAAATCAATAGACTAAGGCTATTTCTTGTCTAAAAGTATGATAATCAAAGTTATATTCCAGTTCTTTTATAAATTTCGACACTGCTTACAAAAACTTCTGCGTACGCCCATGAATATATGGGCATACTAGGTTGGATAGAATTAGGAATGAAGTTATTCGGGACAAGATGGGAGTGGCCCCTGTGGAGACAAGGTTGAGATGGTTCGGGCATGTTAAGAGGAGAAGCACAGATGCCCCAGTCAGGAGATGTGAGAGGTTGACCTTGGGAGGTGAAAGAAGGGATAGAGGTAGGCCAAAGAAGTCTTGGGGAGAGGTGATCAGGCGGGACATGGCGCAGCTTGAGCTGACGAGGACATGACCCTAGATAGAAGGGTGTGGAGGTTGAAGATTAGGGTAGAAGGTTAGTAGGTAATCGTGTGTTTTCCTTTGTCTTCTCTAATTGGATAGTATTAGTGCTAGTACGATTGCCATATTCGCATGTCTTGTTCCATTATTACTTGACATCGTTAATTCCATAGTTTGCTAGCAGTACTTCGTTCATATTCTCGTTTGCTGCCTTGGATTTAGTTTTCTAAATATATTATCTTGCTATTACTTGTTATCGGTACCCCTTTCATATTTTCTGTTTGCTATCTTCGATTTAGTTTTCTAATTATTTGTCTTGCTATTACTTGCTATCAGGGCTTCTTTCACCTTCTTTAGCCGATGGTCTATCAAAAACAGTCTCTGCCTTTTCGGGATAGAGCTAAGACTGCATACATCCTACCCTCCTCAGATCTCACTCGTGGGATTATACTTGGTGTGGTTGTTGTTGTAGAGTATGCCATAAGGTCGTGTATAGTAGCCTGATAAAAGGTCTTTATTCAAGTCCGAGTAGAGGGAATCCTTTTAGTCAATTAGTCCTATGATAGTTGATGTTTTATTATAGTCTCAATTGATATGAAATCTTAGGTTCCAGTCTAAATTGAGGAATTATTTATATTTCGTCAATTAAAAAATAATTGCAGGCAGTGGCAGAGCAATAAAAACATATAAAATATTACACATTTTGAGCTTTTGACCTAAAGCGATTTCTTAAACTTCTTTACTGTTTTACTGGAACTTTCCCTTATGTTAAAGAATTCAACAATTTATATATAACTAAAAAAAATTAATATTTGCTTCCAAAATAAAATTTGTTAAAAAAAGGGGATTCATTTGAAGCGCCATCTTTCAAGTTAGATCCGACCCTGATTATAGGTAGTTCTATATAATAATAACAACTTGAAATTTACAATTTGATGTATATAATTAACAAAACGGATTCCAACTTTCCCAAACTTTATGGAGTACTATCGCTTTTAGTCATCGCCATAAACTATTTATATTCGATAGCCGAAAAAGTATATTAAATTTATATAATTTTTATATATAACATATAGAATGTATATATATATAAAATATATATTAATTTTATTTTCGGCTATTTATTTTTACCGCGGCTATATAGTGTCTTTTTTCTGTCACTATTACTTCAAGAAACACTAGCCTATTTCTAAGTCTAAAACGAAAGAAAAGAATAAAACAAAATTAATAATCACCTTTTTATTATTTATTAATTTGGTGTAATGATAAACGAAATGAAAATGGCTAGAGATCTACCATCTTATTATTGCAATTATGGCCTTCAAAAGGCTATATAGTTAATTTAGTTTAGTACAAATCTTAACCTTCACAAATGACAACCTTTTTAACGATTAAGTGAAAAGTGTAGCAGAAAAGGTTCTACCCCTTCTCCAGATCCAGAAATTAAAAGATTATGCAGAGTATCATACCACAGCCAACATCTTTTTTTCCCCTCTTTTTAACCTATCCATTTTATATTCAAAACTCAATAGCATTGCTAATTCAGAATAGCATAGCATATGACTCACTAAGGGTTCGTTTGGTATGATGGATAAATAAAAATCATCACGAGATAAAATTTTAGTATCACATTATTTCTTGTTTTGTTACTAATTCCGGGATAAGTTATCTCAAGATTAAAAATTATATCAGGATAACTAATACTGTCAGAAGGTGAAATGGTAATTTCAGGATAAAATGGTAAAATTGACAATCCGAGAATTAATATTACATATAAACAAGAGTCTTGGCGTAGCTGGTAAAGTTGCTGCCACGTGATCAGGAGGTCACGGGTTCGAGCTATGGAAACAGCCTCTTGCAGAAATGCAAGCTAAGGCTGCATACAATAGACCTTTGTGGTCCGGCCTTTCCCCAGACTCTGCGCATAGCGGGAACTTAGTGCATCGGATTGCCCTAAACAGTCTATAAAAAATAATAGCAGAATAACTAATATCAGCATAACTTGTCTCAAACCAAACGATCCGTAAAAAAGTAGCACTTCTTATTTGATTTTTTTCTTCTTAAAACCTGAACTATAAACTTCTAACTAAAAGTGAAAATATTTCATTCATCTCATCACACTCCTTAATCTTGATCTTTCTCCTTTTCAGAAAAGAATCTCCAGCCCCTAAAGTAGCCAAATCCCACCTCCCCTATTCCTTTTCCCACAATCCCAAAGTCCAAACCCCACAAGAAGCTGCTGATACATTTTGGATAAGCCACTTTCTTCTTGAAAAAAAAAATCTCAAATTTTTTTCTCAATTTAATATATATATTCAGACTTGGATCTTATATTAGAATAATTACAAAACAAGCCAATTGTGTGAGTGGCTCAAGGAGGCTGCAAAAGGAGAGAAAAAAAACAACAAGAGCCTCTTTCCTTTCCTCTCAAACTCATAATTCTCTTATGTGGGAATTGAGTTTTGGCTTATTTCAACATCATAGCCACTATTACCCAAAAAATCTCTTCCTTCTTCTTCAAACAAAAACATACTATAAACCTAAGTCCAAAACCCTAATATTAAAGCCAATCCAATATTCTTTTTTATTTTCTTGATTAATCAATTCAATAGTATATCAATTCTTGTTACTATTTCTACTTATTATATATATAAGGAACATTACATTTTTTCCAAAATTTTCAAGAACAAGAAATCTCTTCCCTCCTTTGAGAGAGTTCCTTTTACAGAAGAAACAGACCAATTACTACAACTACAAGGAATATTAATTCATTCAACCATTTTTATTACACTTTTAAAGATGCTTTCTGCTATTTGCATTCTCTTATTCTGTTTCTTAATCTCATTCTTCCCACTAATTACAAATTCCCTTAATCTCACCCTCCCCTATCAACACCCTTACCCTGAAGCTGTGGTTCAAGAACTACAAAGGTATTACTCACATTTCAATACTAACTTTATTCATAGCATTAATACTCAAATTCCTCATCTGGGGTTTTCCCATTCTTACATCTTGCGGATCTTTACGCAAATAGCAGGTCATATTCATTGTTTTTTTTGTCTACATACATTATACATTGATGATACACAATTATACAAATATAATACACAAATAATGCATAGAGTATATTATACTTCTACCGGCTATTTTTGGTTTAAGCGGTTGGGTGTACGGTATTTGGGTTAATTCTTTTTAAAAGAAAACCCCATCTGGTTTAGCTCATTAATTCATTTATTCATCTGGGTTTCTCTGTTTTACTTAGAAAATCAACAAAACCCATCTGGGTTTTGCTCATATTAAACTTTTGAACCTTTCTTGAGTTAAGTACTTTTTGTGTACACATTCTGCTTTTGCCAAAATCAATCAAGAAAATATTAATTTTTCCAATAAAGCTCCGATTTTTTCTAATTTTACAGCTCAAAATACTTAAAACTTTAACTTACTTTTGTTTCCACCCCCTGCATTATTCATACATTTTTTTTCTTTTTTCTTGTTATGATGGAGTATGATTTAGTCATGTTAGCACATTTACTTTACATCGTATACTTTTATAAGAACTTCAAGTACTTTTTACTTGGATTTATAGGCCAATCACAACTTGTTTGAGATGAAGTTTAATTGTTTTTATTGTTGCTTTGTTACAGTAGGGTGAATGAGTCCATATCAAGAAGACAACTGTTAGACACTACCATAAATGCACAATGTCAAACAGGGAACCCAATAGACGATTGCTGGCGCTGCGATCCAAACTGGGCCAGCAATCGTCAACGTTTAGCAGATTGCGCCATAGGCTTCGGCCAGGGCACAATCGGAGGAAGAAACGGTAAGATTTACGTCGTCACTGATTCTTCAGATAGAGACACCGTAAATCCAACGCCGGGGACTCTCCGGCATGCCGTAATCCAAGACGAACCGCTCTGGATAATTTTCTCAGCCGACATGTTTATTAAATTAAAACATGAACTCATCGTAAATAGTTATAAAACAATCGACGGTCGTGGTGCAAAAGTACACATTACAGGAAATGGATGTATAACGTTACAATATATTAGTAATGTTATTATACACAATGTGCATATTTACAATTGTCGTCCTTCGGGAAATACTAATATACGTTCGACCCCGACTCACGTTGGACATAGAGGAAGATCGGACGGTGATGGAATTTCTATATTTGGATCGCGAAATATATGGATTGATCATTGTGCATTGTCGCATTGTACCGACGGCTTAATTGATGCTATCATGGGGTCCACTGCGATTACTATATCTAACAACTATTTCACTCACCATGATGAAGTTATGCTCTTGGGACATGATGATAGATATTTGCCTGACTCCGGAATGCAGGTTAGATGTATTTCTTTTATTGAAAAAGGTTTGAAATTTACCTATTATAGTATGAAATATCTTAATTTTATTCCTCGTTATACTTTGAGATTATTCATATCTTTTTCGTTAGTAAATTATCTCATATTTGTCCTTAAAAGGGCAGCTTGGTGCATTAAGTTCCCGCGATTCACGGGGTCTGGGGAAGGATCGGACTACAAAAGTCTATTGGCCGCATGAGCCATAGCAGTAACATGTCTCATATTTGTCTCGAACCCATCTCATATTTGTCCTTGACCTACCAAATTTCAGCATATGCTATACTACAGTTAGGATGCCTGGTGAAGTTCCATTAGGGTTAAGACGATTTGCTAACGACAGATATGGATGAGACGAAAGTATAACGGATGATAAAACTAAGATATTTTGTATAGTAGATTTTTTTTTTGACTAATTTTCCTCATTTTTAAGAGCTTTTTGTTGATGATATTGAAATTTTTTGAGGTTTAATGTGTAATTTTATGGAAAAATAGGTGACAATAGCATTCAATCATTTTGGAGTGGGATTAGTACAGAGAATGCCAAGGTGTAGAAGAGGATATATACATGTAGTGAACAATGATTTTACAGAGTGGCAAATGTATGCAATTGGAGGAAGTGCTAATCCTACTATTAATAGTCAGGGCAATCGTTATATGGCGCCAGTGGATCCAAATGCAAAGGAGGTAATTTTAATTTAGTTTTTATAAATCTATTCTATTTTCTTTCTGATTTTGGATACTTTTTTGTTATTTTTCTCTAGTGAAAAAGAAGAAAATCATTGGCTTAATGATGTTTGGGAAAATCCTTGTGAACTTTTTAGACCATGTCCCACATTTTTTTTTAGTTCAGATAAAATGCGGTGGTTGCGCGTGGTGAAACGCGCCACCACTAAATTAAAGTATTTTTGGTATTCTTTTTCTGTACTTGAAAAGGCCTTTTGAGAACACTGATTTTCGGTTTAGTGCTTGGTCTTTTCTGGAAATTTTACAATGTAAATTTGATTAAAACCCCAAAATTTTCAGAAATTTTTGTTGAAATTTTTTGTTTTCCCGCTCACAAAATTGTAATATTTTTTTAAGTGAAATACATGCCCAAATGTAATTTCAAATATCATTATTCAACTTAATTTGAAATACTATTTTTTTTAAAAAAATACAATTTTTATGTACAAACGCCTACTTATACTTACTGGAACAATAATAACTATAAAAGAACAATTCGATGTAGACAACCTACTATAACGCAAGCATTAATGGATGTTTCCAAGACTCAAACATGTGACATATAGGACAATTGTATAAATGTTTGTTGATCATATTCTTTTCATATTTCTAACATTATCAATTACAATTCCGAGTAATAAAGAAAGATTATGATAAGCTAATATCCAACACAATAAAGAAAGAAAAAAAAGCTCTAAGGAAAATCGCTTTCGTTATTGATTTTGGCTGTGATTGGGCTTTTTAAAGTTATTTTAAATAAATGCTTGAAAATGCAAACTTAGTCATAATGATGTTTGCTTGAAATGACATATTGATATCTTCAAAATAGTCAAAACGAGAAGCTGTTTGTGTGGGAACAGGTGACAAAGCGCGTGGACACAGACGAGGGAGAGTGGAGTGACTGGAACTGGAGAACTGATGGGGACGTAATGGTAAATGGAGCATTTTTCGTGCCATCAGGTGAAGGGCTGAGCAACCAATACGCGAAGGCCTCGAGCGTGGAGCCCAAATCCGCTGTTCTTATTGATCAACTCACCCTCAACGCCGGTGTTTTTGGTGGCCCGAGGTACTCCCCATTTCATAATTTAAATATAAATATTATTTTATATCGTCAACTAGCATTAAGTATTATATAATTAAGTATAATATATTAATTATTTCAAATTATCAACCAATGAAATCTTAGTTACAACAATCAGGATAATATATTCAGTGTAATCTCACAAGTGGAGTATAAAGAAGGTAGTATGTATGCAGACGTTGCCTTACCTTACTTGAAATAGAAAAGTTATTTCTGATAAACCATCGGCTCAAAGAAAAAAACAAAGCAAGTTTGAAAGGAAAAAAAAAAGCAGTAGTGAAGCTATTTTTAGAAAAAAATTCTCGTTTTTAAACATTTTCTGCTTTTTAATTTCTCTATTGCATCCACTTGCTTCTCTTTGTTCTTTTCACTGCCCAAAGAATAGAAAGAAGAGTAGATTTATTAAAGAGTATAAAAAAAGTATATAATTTTTAGAAAAGGGCAGAATAAGTACAAAGCTATGACTATATTAAAAAATAAAGCGGCCATTGAGAATCTAATTTATACATACATAGAGCCTTGTACTCTTGAGTTGTCTTATTCCCACTTCTCATAGATTTAAATAATACTTTGGCCTTTGTGTATAGAGTTCTATAGTTCGATAGTAAGGGTTGCAGTAGAATGGTAAATATTTTTTTATTTTTAATTTTCAGGTTTGAGTACCGAATATGAGTTGGCTATTTTAAAAAATGCTTAATCACATAATGTGAAATTTCTCGTGCGAATTTGAATTCAATCGGCACCCCAATATAGGTATTAAATATCGAATAGAAAACCAAAAAAAGATATATAGCTCAACTCCTTTGGTGACCATTGCCTATTTGCATTTTAGAGGGAAATTAGGCGATTTTCCAACTTAATTTTGATGATGTTGATTTTAAAGTATTTGTATTAAAAAATCTATTAAATATGTAAAATATTTTATTGCGGACCAAATAACTAGAACAGTAATAAAATCAAAATTCATAACTTTGAACAAGTATTTGTCATGAATCCTTGACGGTGAACAACTTTGTAACTAAGTTTGACGCGGCTAGAATCTTTTTATTTTATTTATATTATAGTCTAATTTATGTAATTAATAAAAAATGTAGGGCAGGGAAAAAGAGGGAAGATCAGTATCAGGTCATGTGAGGTGTTTTATAGGAGCGTATGAGCTGAGAAGTTAGATTCTATGATTCATGCTTTCCAGCCCATGAAAAACGTGGGGCCCAAAAGACTTTTCTTAAAGATTTTGGGCCCCATTTGTGATATTAACTGGGCTTGGACCACTTTCCGTTAAGATAAAGGTAGGGCCCATACGGCCTAGTTGCTCAAAAGCTCAAGCTCGATGTTGTTAGTCAAGATGTACAATTGATATTGGGGTTTTTACATCTATACTCGGTTTTGGAGTCACAATTAAAACTATACCTATTTTACAAAAAAAAAATTATAAGTCTACCACTTTATAATCAACTACAGACTTATCAGGTTTGAAGTTGAAAAAAATAGTCTAAAGTAAAATAATTGCACTTCAGATACACTTAATGTCAAATATGTCTGAAGTGCAACCAATGGTTTCATGCACTTAAAGCCAATAAGTCTTAAGTGAAAAAATTATACTTCAGATGTATTTAAGGTCAAAAGATCTGAAATATAACAAACGTTTTCCTACATTTAATGATAAGTCTAAAATGAAAAATTGCATTTCAGATACACTTAAAGGTCTTAATAATATATTGTCATTTGAAACTTATGGTTTCAGACCTTAATATTTAACAAAATTTTAATAATTTTTGCACGTGTATATTTATGCTCCCCGTAAAAACTATTGAGTTTTATTATTTATAGTTGTAAGCGCCTCTGAATATTTTGCATTATTGTAAATAAACAGGGATAATAGTATTAGCATATCATATGGAGGTGGGACCACCACCGGAGCTAGCGGGAGCGGCGGTGCCGGGTCCACTGGCGGCGGCGATAGTGACTTCTATGGAATGATATTTGGGAGCGGCGCAAAATTATCACCATCTACAACCACTACTATTTTATTGTCTCATTTAATTATTTTAGTTTTGTACATTACCACCAACCATTGTGGGCAATTATCATTACAATTATTACACTTACTATAGCATTTTTAGTAAAGAATATTCCTATATTATTCAAGAAAGAATCAAAAGTCAAAAAGAAATTTTGCAATTTGGTAAAGATCAATCACAAGGGTTCCAATTTTTTTTTGTATGTAATTTTATTTAATTCACCATCCATTGTTCGATAGCTGCATTAAGTACAACTAAACTAGAATTTGTATCGAGAAGTTCCATGTTAGAGGTAAATCGGTATTAACAAAGACGGCTTCCTATTGAAAATTCGAACTTGAAATCTTTAGTTAAAGATTAAAGAGTACTTATCCTCCACCACGACACTGGTTGGCTGTTTGTACATAATCAATTGATAGGAATGTCTAGGGGGAATTTATGAGTTGTTAACTCATGTGTCAGCATTGTATTTTCAGTTTTTTTCTTTTTTCCTTGTTGCGGGGTTTTTGAATATGACTTGGAATTGGCGGCCACAGGATTTTCTTGACTTTTTGGGTTAGATGATGATGAATTAAAGTGAGGAAATTGTATTAAATTTTAGAAAGATTGGGTATGGTTGGCCATGGTTCCTTTTTCGGATCATACATCAATTTCAGAGCCTACGTGACTTTTTAGTCTTTTTCAATTCAACAAACACTTTGATAAGATATGTTCTTTGTTCTCGGGAGTCTTGAATTAATAGTAAAGTTGTCTTTTCGAGCCGTGGAAGCAGCCACTAATGCTTGCATTGGGTTAGATTGTCTACATCATATACCCCTTGGCATGAGATTCTTCTGCAAATCTTGCGTGAATACAAAATACTTTGTACACCGAGCTACCCTGCCGGTCTCATAATTGCATCACTAAAATGTGGATGTCCCCACTACTAAAACAGAATTGACATAATCTAAGTGTAAGAGTGATTTGAGGAAATTCTAGATATCCTTTTCGCTTAATAATTCAAGATTTCAAAGTAATAAGGGAAAATAACATTTTATTTGTCGCTCCCTTCATGAATTATCAGGAAGTTGGTTTAGCTGTCGAAGAGAAGTAGAGAACCAATCCTCTGATTGTGTAACGATATTGTATTTTGTATAAATAGGAGAAAGCAACAAGGAAGAGAGAATTATAACTAATCTTACTATAGGGGAAAAGATTGAGTTGAAGCTTTGTAACTCCTTTCAACGGCATTAACAGCTTGTTACATTTCAATAATTAAGGACCTTGTCATTGGTAACATGCACCTAATTAATCTCCGGTTAATTAAAATGGCTGAAAAATATAAAATCTCCTCAATAAAAGTAAGATAAAAAAGTAATGCAATATCTAATATTATTGGGGATGAAAAAAAATTAAAAACTCATTATTAGTAACTAATTCCCCTCAATTTTGTTGTCTTCATTGTTATTGTTCGTCATTGATATTTATCTCCATTCAATTGTTTCTCCATAATTAAGAGCCAATATACAAGAGGTGCCACTTCCCTTTGCAACAACTAGCTCCCTCCAACACAACGTCCAAATCCTCCATTTTTTTTACTATGCAACCATCACATACTCAGAAATACACTATATGTGGTAAAAATGTTCTACTTCCATGTCTTCTCCTCCTTCCAATAGCAAGCTATTTATATTCAAGTGTGTACTTCTTCACGAATAGCTTCCTACGTACAGTTAGTTGTACCCTAAAGCTTGAGAATACAAGGTCAAGTGTTCAAATTTTGAGATCTCTGATTGTGCATATACTTAATAGAACGTAATAAAGCAAAATACCCATATAAAAAAATAACAGCAACACGGAATTAAAAATTAACTAGGCTAATACGCTTACATTATGTCCAATATTTTTAACGAATCTTTTTATGTCCGTAAAAATGTAAACCGCTATCGCCAAAGAACCAATGTAATTGAAAGTTGCTTCTTTCAGGTCCACTTCACATCAACATGTTTATAGACGCAGTGAACACGCCCATTAAGCAATGTAAAAGGGCAATGTAAGCTGAAAGATTGTAAATTTAGCTCTCTACAGACTAGGCACTAAGCATTTATGCACTTACTAAGATCACTTTCCTCATAGCGTTCCCCAAAATAAGTAATCAAACAAAAGTAAATAAAACAACTAGAAGAGACAAGTACTAGACCAAACACCACCTGTTGAAACACCATGCACAAACCCAGGTTATACTACTTAAATTAATTCACTTATGTTTACTCCTTGGTTTGCACTAAAAGGAAAATTAAGTTAGAGATTACCAAACATCCAACATTCAGAAGTTGATATTCTGCGATTCAAGTCTATTGCTTATAATACATCTACTAGCATCTAAAGTCCCATTCATGCTTTCCCCAAACACCAAGTCCATCCTTTGTTCTTTTTACAAGCCAAAAACCAGATCATTTACATGAATAACCCGGTCAACCCTCCATAGCAAAATAACCTGCATAAAGAAAAAACAAAATAAGTAGCATGTACAATAATAAGGCTGATGGAAAAGGGCGCAGCAAACTGGCAATGCAACTGAAAGTTTTTAGAACCACAAGTAGACTAAATATGCTACTTATAATAGAACAGAAAAAGTAAGACAAAACAAGATAAATAAAGGAAAGACAAACAAAAGGCTGCATATAGCCCCTTAAACTTGGTCATTTTTTTCATTTAGACACATAAACTAAGCCCATAACCTACTGAATACTTGAACCATGCTCAAATTATGTCAATTGAACTCTTACGAAACAACCTGACAAAAGACCAAGTGCGTACAGCTCAATCGCTGATGAAGTGGTACTCAATAAACAAAATAAAGACAGGCAAAGCAAAATTCTTCGTTTCTTCAACAAACCCAGTATTTCCACTTTGATTTCTTCAACATCCTCTCTTTTCCACCATTCAAACCAGACCTCCAGACACAAAGCATTCGTCTTTCGTTTTTTCTACCTTCTTTTGATTTTTATCTTCCTGACCTTCCTTAATCATGGATGCACCATACCCCCTCCCCCCCCCCNTAGAAGGAGAAAGAATACGAAAAATAAAAATTAAGAAATTATGTATCTTCACTCTCTCTTAAGTGGCATGGTACATGCAAGTGGCCACACCCGCAACTTGTGTCTAATTGACACATTTTCAACTAGCATCGAGTGTTCAATAGGTACAAGCTTTAGTATAGGTGTCTAAGTGAAAGATTCAGACAAAGTTTAAGCGGACGCGTATGTATTCGGCCGAAACAAAATATATTAACATAATAATATCGACAGGGCATGTATATTAAGCATTGTATAGTGACACATTCTCAGTGTTATCAAAGGCGAAAAGCGCAAAAAAACTACCGTTAGGGCTTTAAGCGCAAAGCAATAAAGCGTGAGCTTTAATGAAAAAAGGCGCAATGGGAAAAAAAGTAAAAATATGCATAGTAGTCCAAGACTAATCATTATAAGCATGAATAACAAATATATGGATAAAGAAATTGAAAAAAAAATCATGATAAAATGAAATATCAATTGTTTAAGGTCGCCTTTTCAGGATGGCAAGGAAAAGTATGTGTTAGAGCTTTGATGTGACACTAAAGCGCTTACAAAGCGAGGCGAAGCACTCAACGTGTTTTGAGCCTCGCTTCAGGGCTTAAGCGCGCCTTTGACAACACTGCACATTCTGATGTTTCAAATAGTTTATCTTTAAAGTAAAAAGTTGAGACTATCATCTCAAATATTTGCAAGTAGAATCTGTGCATCATGCAGGACAGTTTTGAGTATAAAAACCTAAATGAGCAGGATATAAAATCAGTAAGTTTAAGTACAAATAATTACTGTTCAAAGATGTCACCAGCTTCCCTGGCTGCCAGAACTCTTTCCTTTGCCCCAAGAACTGGTTACTTTACCCCACGCATCACTCGGTCCATCACTTGTTTCTTTTGATTTGTTCACATCCTCAGTATTGGATTTGTTTGCAGTCCAAGCTGTGGTAGCATTTCCTGAAGCAGCTCCCTGGTTCCAGCTTGTTCCCATGCCATTCTGATCCTCCTTTCCACTAACAGTTGTCTGCTGACCCCCTCCCTGGCTGCCAGAACTGTTTCCTTTGCCCCAAGAGCTGGTTGCTTTACCCCGCGCATCACCTGGTCCATCATTGGTTGCTTTACCCCACACATCACTCGGTCCGTCACTTGTTTCTTTTGATTTGTTTGCAGTCCAAGCTGTGCTCGCATTTCCTGAAGCAGTTCCCTGATTCCAACTTGTTCCCATGCCATTCTGATCCTCCTTTTCACTAGAAGTTGTCTGCTGACCCCACCCTGAAGATGTACCTCCCGTAGTAGCAGTAGAAGTTTTCCAACTATTTCCTGGAGTATTCCAACTGGTGGCACTAGTACCAGTTCCACTCCCATTCTTTTCGGAGTCGAATCCTTTCTTCCATCCACCATCATTAGCATTGCCTCTACTATCAGCAGTCTTCCAGCTCCCTCTGTCATTGTTACCTTGACTCCAACTGCCCTTGTTAGACTTCCATCCCTCAGCATCACTGCCTGACTCTTTGCTCCAACCATAGGGTTTATCTTCCTGCGAATTAGTTCTATTCTGCCATTCACCACTTTCATCCATCCTTCCACGCCCTCTACCACGAAATCCTCCCCCATCCGATCCTCTACCTCTAAAACCTCCCCTGTCCCCTCTACCTCGAAAACCTCCCCTTCCTCCAAAGCCACCGCGATCTGAACCACCCCTACCTCCGTATCCACCTCTATCTGATCCACCACGGCCTCCCCTCCAACTACCACCTCTTCCCCGGTCACCATAAGAATCAGATTGCTGGTCGTTACCACCAAAACCACTACCAGAATTCCAGTTACTTTTGCTGCTCCAGGAATCTTGATTTCCAACGGCATCCTCCTTTCCGCCCTTCCACAAATTACTTTGACCCCACCCTGTAGATGAACCTCCATCTGAAGTTCTTTTACCACTCCATTGATTTTTCCCATTGGCATCTTGTTCGACTGCAGATTTGCTATTCCATGCAGAGGAGTTTCCTGCTGACTCTTTCTGAGTGATCTTGTTGTCCCAACCAGCTGACTCCTTGCTCCCAGATTCACCAGATTTTTTGTCCCAATCAGACTGGTTTCCACTAGAACCTCCTACCTCCTTTGAGACTGAATTCTTATTCCAACCAGAAGACCATCCTTCATTTGATGGTTTGGAGGCATTCCAACCACCACCACTCTGGAAATCAGATGATTGATTACCAGCAATACTGGTGTCATCATTAACTTTTCCCCAACCATGTTCCTGCGAACTATTCCAACTAGACTGGTTCCCCTTAAATTCTACATTACTAGAATTATTATTGCCTTCACCTTCAGTAGTCCAGCTACTAGACTGTCCTTGATTAAAAGATCTTCCTCTACCACTTTGATCTCGACCCCCTCGCCAACCACCTCGTCCTCTCCTGCCACCTGATCCACGACCTCCATCAAATTGTCTTGGCTTTCCCCAGCTCCCTTCTAGGTCCGTACCACCACCCCAGCTACTAGATNTTCTTGGTCTGTACCACCACCCCAGCTACTAGATCCACCATCTTGCTTTTTCCAGTCATTCTCTGCCTTTGCATCAGATTGCTTACTCCAAGATCCACCTTCACCTTCACTCTTCTTCGAAGAAAACCCAGCATCTTGCTGGCTCCACGAAGCATTGCTATCTGGCTTTTTCCAGCCAGATCCATCATTTTTCTTTTTCCAGTCAGTCTCTGCAGAGGCATCAGATTGTTTAGTCCAAGAGGATCCACCTTCACCATCACTTTTCTTCCAAGAAGAACCAGCACCCTGCTGGCTCCACGAGGTTTTGCTATCCGTCTTATTTGATACACCATCTTGCTTTTTCCAGCCAGTCTCTGCATTTGCATCAGCTTGCTTACCCCAAGAAGATACTCCCACTTGCGCACCCCAAGAGGATCCACCATCACTTCCAGCATCCTGCTGGCTCCAAGAGGTTTTTCTATCTGTCTTGTTCGCTCCACCATCTCGCTTTTTCCAGTCAGTCTCTGGATCTGCATCAGATTGCTTACCCCAAGAAGATCCAGCATCCTGCTTGCTCCATGAGGTTTTGCCCGAGTCATCATTTTTCTCTTGTTTTTGCACAGATCCCCAGGGATCATCCATAACCTTCTCGGTGCTCTCTTGATGTGATTCAACCTTTTTGCCCCAGCCGTCAGACACAGCACTAGTAGCGCCAGCAGTAGAAGTACCTTTTGCCCAACCATCAGGTTTTGTCCAGCCATCATCTTGCCCCGAGCCAGCAACAGCAGGCCAAGAACTCCTGCACATAAATTTTACCCATATCAGGTCATATTGAGTATCAACGATTTTCAAAAACAATGGTAGGGAAAAAAACACCCATCTTTTCAGCGCCAAACAAAATCAAAAGAAGTAAAATCTGTAGCTCCTTATAAGCAACAATAAATCACAAAATTCATACCGCGGAAATGTCGAGTGGAAGTCTGAAGAGTAGTTGCATAATATGTAAAACAGCATGAATTAGAGCTTTTCTTAAGAAGCCAAATGGAGATAATGGAGCAGAAGACATACAGTCTTAAGCACAAATCTCATACGATGTTGAAGGAGGCAGAATCAAGTTTGATACTACTATTGTGAGTTTGGATATCCAAGTAATTGTCAGTTTCATCCTTTTGAAATTAGCGCCTTCACTCATGCTAGTGCCTCATATGCCTATTCTTTTTGTTACTCTTCTGTCTTCCCCCATTCCTTAACCTCAACTCCCCCCCCCCCCCC